TACCCGCTATGCCACAGCACCGGCCCCATCTGGCCATATTTTTAATATGCCTGTGCCAAGTTTATCATCACAACACGTTTTATCTATTTATTTGAAAGTCAAAGTTACACAGAGAGAGAAGAGAGGTAGAGAGACAGCGGTCTTCCGTCCACTGTTTCACTTCCCAAATGGCCACAACAGCTGGAGCTGTGCTGATCTGAAGCAAGGAGCCTCTTCCGCATCTCCTATGAGGGTGCAGGGGCCCAAGGACCTGGGCCATTTTCTATTGCTTTCCCAAGCCATAACGGAGAGCTGGATCAGAAGTGGAGCAGTCAGCACTCAAACTGGAGCCCATATGGGATGCTGGCACTGCAGGTAGCAGCCTTATCTGCTACGCCACAGCTCTTTTACTCAATAGAATTGGGTCACCCACTCACTAGTAGATAATAGTTTTTATAGACATTTTTGCAATACTAAGAACATCAATCAAAAGTGGTCCTTGTACCCAAAAGACTTAAACACAATGTATCAATGAGATATCTGCACCACCAGGTTTACAGAGGCACTGTTCACATTAGCCAAAATTTGGAAACAACCAATGTATCCATCATCATATGAATGGATAAAGAAAATGTGGTCTAGATACACAACAGAATATTTTTCAGTTATATACAAAAAAGAATGAAATTCTACCATTTGCAACAAAATGGACAAAATCAGAGGACAATCATGTTGAGTGAAATAAGCTAGACCCAGAAAGAAAATACTGCATGTTCTCCCTTGTATGTGGGAGCTAAAATTTTAAAAACAAACAGAAAAGAAAGAATGAAATTTCTATGTGTACTGATATTGCTGCAAATACAATTTTGTAAAACTTTGTCTTATAACTTTATCAAACCAATGGTTAAGAATGTTATATACGGCTATAATTTTAATAATCTGTGATTACTTTTAAAAATTTACTGTGTGAGTGAAATGGTCATTTTTCCACTTATTGTTCCTAGCCTGGTCTATTTTCTCACTAAACTAGGGTCTTTTTGCTTTTTTACTTGTTAAACTTATTTGGTCAATTAAGCCCTTTTGCTGTAATATAATTTTTTTAAAGATTTATTTATTTACTTGAAAGTCAGAGTTGCAGAGAGAGAGAGAAGAAGAGGCAAAGAGATAGAGAGGTCTTCCTGGGACTGGCACTGTGGCATAGCAGGGAAAACCGCTGCCTGCAGTGCCAGAATCCCATATGGACACTGGTTAGAGTCCTGCTCTACTTCCTATTCAGCTCTCTGCTATGGCCTGGGAAAGCAGTAGAAGATGGCCCAAGTCCTTGGGCTCCTGTACCGCATGGGAGACCCAGAAGAAGCTCCTGGCTTTGGATTGGCGCAGCTCAGGCCATTGTGGCCAGTTGGGGAGTGAACCAGGGGATGGAAGACCTTCCCCCCTGCCCCCTTTTTTTAAAGATTTATTTACTTATTTGATAGGCAGAGCTACAGAGAGGCAGAGTCAGAGCCAGAGACAGGCTTGGGCCCCTGCACCTGCGTGGGAGACCCAGAAGAAGCTGACTTCTGGCTTCGGATCACCCAGCTCTGGCCATTGCAGCTATTCAGGGAGTAAACCAGCGGATGGAAGACCTTTCTCTGTGTCTCTTTCTCTCTCTGTAACTCTACCTCTCAAATAAATAAATAAATAAAGGAAGGCAGGCAGGCAGGCAGACGGAAGGAAAGAGGGCAGGAGGGAGAGAGAGGGGGGGAGTATCATTTTGTGTTTAGAATTCTATCTACAGGGGCCCCAGCATTGTGGCATAGCAAGTAAAGCTGCCATCTGCAATACCACCATCCCAGCATCCCACCTGCGATGCCAGTGGCAGCTCCATTTCTGATGCAGCTCCCTACTAAAGCTCTTGAGAAAGCAGCAGAAGATGGCCCAGGTGCTTGGGTCCCTGGATGTGGGAGACCTGGAGAAGCTTTTGGTTCTTGTCTTTTGCCTGGGCCAGCCCTACCCATGTGGCCATCTGTGGAATGAACTAATGCATGAATGATCTGTCTGTCTCTGTCTCTCTCTCTAATAGATATTCTTTGGGGGGAAAAAAAAGATTTGTGTCTACAAATCACATTGAACCTCTTAAAAACTAATTAGAAATTTAAATTAAAAAATTATTTTTAAAAAAAGGGAATCACTGAACTAGACTCAAATGAATGTTTAAAACTTGAGGAGTTGTGACCAGAGTTTTCATCCAAGGTGGGGTATCTTTTTACTGCCAAGGGCCATTTGGGTATTTCTGACAATACCTGCAAGCCATACAACATTATCAACTTAAGAATTAGCCCACTGAGATAGTATCTCACCCCTGTCAGAATGTCTAAACTCCAAAAAGACAGAGAGTAACAAATGTTGGCAAGGATGTGAATAAAGGGGAACTTTTACACACTGTTGGTGGGAATGTAAATTAGTGCAGCTGCTGTGGAATAATGAACATTTCTTTAAAAACTAGAAATAGACTTGCATTATGATCCAGCAATTCCACTAGTGGGTATATGCCCAAAAGACATGAACACACTGTATAAAAGAGATATCTGCGCATCCCCATGTTTACAGCAGCACTGTTCACAATAGACAAAAATGGAATCAACTGAGGTACACAGCATCAAATGAATGAATTACAAAAATGCAGTACATTTATACACACACACACACACACACACACACACACGGAATATTATCCAGCTGTAAAAAAGAATGAAATTCTATCATGTGCATCAATACAGATATCACTGGAGGACAACATGTGGTGTGAAGTAAGCCAGACACAGAAAGACAAATAGCACATGTTCTCCCTTATATGTGGGAGCTAAAATTAAAAAAGAAAAATAATTTTAAAAGAAAACAAAAAAGAAATATCTATGTATATCAGTATTGCTGCAAAAATACTTTTGTTAAACTTGGTTTTATCTTTGTCAACCAATGGTTAAGAATGATACACAGGGCCCAGCACTGTGGCATAGTAAACTAAGCCTCCGCCTGAGGCAACGACTTGAGTCTCCACTATTCCACTTCCTATCCAACTCCCTGCTAATGCACCTGAGGAAAGCAGTGGAGGATGGGCCAAGTACTTGGGTCCCTGCACCCACTTGGGAGACCCATTAAAAGCTCCTAGCTACTGGTTTCAAATTGGCTCAACTCCAGCAGTTGCAGCCATTTGTGGAGTGAACAAGCGGATGGAAGACCTCTCTCTCTGTAACTCTTTCAAAAGAAATCTTCTTTTTAATTTTTAGGGGGTCATTCCCGATATTAGATAGAATTATCTTCTTTTTTATTATTTATTTATTTGACAGATAGAGTTAGACAGTGAGAGAAAAAGACAGAGAGAAAGATCTTCCTTCTGTTGGTTCACTCCCCAAATGGCCTCTATGGCTGGAGCTACACCAATCCGAAGCCAGGGGCCAGGTGCATCCAACCTGGTCTCCCATGCAGGTGCAGGAGCCCAGGGACCTGGGCCATCCTCCACTGCACTCTCGGGCCACAGTAGAGAGCTGGGTTGGAAGAGGAGCAACCAGGACAGAATCCGGCACCCCAACCAGGACTAGAACCCAGGGTGCCGGCGCCGCAGGCGGAGGATTAGCCTAGTGAGCCACATGCCGGCCCCTCAAATAAATCTTAAAGGGGGGGGGGGGGGGCATACTACTATATTTTTAAAAACCTGTGATTACTTTAAAATTTATTGTATGTGAGTGAAATGGATGTCTTTTCATTTGATTATGGTTTATAGCCCTTGCATAAATTCCCAGCAAACTAGATTCTATTTACTTTTTATGTGTTAGAATAAACTTTTAGAGGAGAGAAACAAAAGGAAGGAAGGAGGGAAGTGTTATAGTCTTAGAATCATATCTATGAACTACACTGAATCTGTTCTCTTTGTATTAATATCACATCAACATGAGAATTATGTTGTAATTATCTTTTATTTGCTGTGACCCTGAGATCTAACATATTAAAAAATTCCTTTGCAAAAATTAGCCTGGGGGCCCGTGCTGTGGCCTAGTAGGTTAAGCCTCTGCCTGCAGCACCAACATCCCATTCGGGCACCGGTTCTAGTCGGGGCTGCTTCACTTTCAATTCACTTTTTCTACTATTGGCCTGGGAAGATAGTGGAAGATGGCCCAAGTGCTAGGGCCAGTACACTCACATGGAAACGAGGAATAAGCTCCTGGCTCCTAGCTTTGGATTGGCCCAGCTCCGGCCACTGCAGCCATTTGGGAAGTGAACTAGTGGATGGAAGATTCATTCATTCTCTCTCTCTCTCTCTCTCTCTCTCTCTCCCCCTCCCCATCTCCCTCCATCCCTCTCTCATCTGTAACTCTGCCTCTCAAATAAATAAATAAAAATCTTAAAACAAATTAGCCTGCTATAGATTTGAGTCCTGCCTGAGACTGCCTTGGCAGTCCCATCCCTGTGGACAGAGTACTATACAATCACATCGGTTTCTTTCTTTCTTTCTTTCTTTCTTTCTTTCTTTCTTTCTTTCTTTCTTTCTTTCTTTTTCTCTCTCTCTCTCTCTTTCTTTCCTTCTTTCCTTCCTTCCTTCCTTCTTTCTTTTTAAAGATTTATTTATTTATCTGAAAGTCAGGGTTACAGAGAGAAAGGGAGAGACAGAGAGAGATAGTCTACCTACTGGTTCACCCCCTTGATGTCCACAATAGCCAGGGCTGGTCCAGGCCAAAGCCAGCAGTTCACCCAGGTCTCCCAAAGGGTGACAGAGGCCCAATCACTTGGGCCATCTTTCAATGCCTTTCCCAGGCCATGAGCGGGGAGCTGTAGTGGAAGTGGAAAAGCCAGGAAAAGAACCTGTGCCCACAGAGGATGTTGGTTTCAGGAGCAGTAGCTTTACCTGTTGTAACCACAATGCCAGATCCTAGTTTTTGTTATAAACAGTAGCATTGCATACCTTTATCAGATAAGCAAAATGAGAAAAATTTTTAAAAACCTTGGAAGACATGGATAAAAAATATTTGGAAAAAATTAAAACTCACCATACACACCTGTAGAAGGAGTGGAACTGTTCATGGTAAAAGGTCTGTTAATGATGCCAGAAGAAAGAATCTCATCAGATCCCCGCTAAAAAATAAAACCAATGTTCAATTAATGAAACAAGTTTTAAATAATGACTCATTTATTATTAAAAATAGTCAAAGTTTATATTACTTCATCTTACTATGGTGACATTTAAGAGGAAATCCCTGAGAATCACCAAATCTAAAAGCTGGCTAGGAACTGTTTAGTATGGAAAAACCACAACACACCCACATGATTGTTAGAAAGAAGAAGAAAAAAAAAAAAAAAAAAAAAAAACAGAACTAGATCACAGAAGTGGGGGCAACCTTTTACGATCAAATGCAATCATAAAATCCCATGTTCAAAATACCAAAAGTAATTAAAGTATTACACTGACATTGTTTCTGTAATATATTTTTACATGCAAATAATTCATGTGGCCTTCCCTAAGAATCCTGACTTCAATACAAAGTATTTTCTTTTAAAAAAAAAAAAAATACTTATTTTTTAATCTACTCAAAAGGCACAGTGACACTGTGAGAGACTAGGAGAGGGCAGAGATTCCTCTGTAAGTTCACTCCAATAGGTGGGGCTGGGCTAGGTGAAAGGCAGCAGGAACTCCTTCCTGGTCTCTCACATTGATGGTACGAGCCCCAGGATTCATTAGCAGGAAGATGGATTGGAAGTGGCGGAGACAGGACTTGAACTGGCACTCTGTTATGGGATGTGCACATCCCAAGTACCCATTTAACCCACTGCACAACTCCCAATTCCCAACATATTTTTAAGTAAAACATAAACATATAATCTACTTTTTTTTTAAAAAAATATTATTTATTTATTGGAAAGGTAGAGTTGCAGAGAGAAGCGACAGGGGACAGAAATTTTCCATCCACTGGTTCACTCCCCAGATGGCCACAATGGCTGGAGCTGGGCCAGTCCAAAGCCAGGAGCTAATTCTGGGTCTCTCATGTTGGTGCAGGGGCCCAAGCACTTAGGGCATTCTCTGCTGCTTTCTCAGGCACATCTGCAGGAAACTGGATTGGAAGTGGAGCGGCCAGGACTTGAACCAGTACCTATATGGGATGCTAGCACCACAAGTGGTGGCTTTACCTGCTATACCACAGTGCCAGCCCCAACAATTTATTTCTATATTGGCAAATTCTTTGTAATCAGTAATTAGTCATTCATTAATCCTAAATATGATCTTCAGTGTGTACTAGTTCTTAAATACCTACTGTTAAAATAACTAACCCCTGAAGCAAGTACTGTGATGTGGGAGCCTGTATCCCATGTCATCGTAGCTGGGATCTGCATCTGATCCACCTTCCTGCTAATGTATCCTGGGAGGCAGCAGATGATAGCTCAAGTGCTTCCACCAATATGGGACAGCCAGATGGAGTTCATGGAAACTGACTGCAAACTGGTCCCTCCCCAGCTGTTGTGGGCATTTGAGAAGTGAAACAGCACACTGAAGATATTTTTTCTCAATCTCTCTTTTCATCTACCTTTCAAATAAATAAAGGTTAACAAAAAAATAAATAAATAAATGATTCTTTTTTCAGGTAATAGCTTTGACTTAATTCCAAATCTGAACTGTCAATGCTAGGCAAGCCTTTTCACTGTAACCATAAGACACAGTAGCAAGATTTAAAAGTTTACATTTAGGAGGGGAAAATATCACAAACAAATCTACTTCAAATGGTATTATTTAGCTTGGTCAACTTTTAAGAGCTTGAGTATTTTGGTCGATGGTTGGATGATAAAATTTGATCCCCACACCCTACAAATACCAGAACAGCAACTGTGCTGCAAGAGAAATACCACTGCAACAGTTAACAACTTCAGCTCTAATAAAGACAGACAACCCACCAAAATGTTTAAATAATAAAAAGTTATTTCTTTCTTTAAAAAAAAAAAAAAGATTGGGGGCCGGCACTATGGCGTAACAGGCAAAGCTGCCGCCTGTAATGCTAGCATCCCATGTGGGTGCCAGTTCAAGTCTAGACTGCTCCACTTCTGGTCCAGCTCTCTGCTATGGCCTGGGAAAGCAGTGGAAGATGGCCCAACTCCTTGGGCCCGGCACCTGTGTAGGTAATCCAGAAGAAGCTCCTAGCTCCTGGCTTCAGAATCTGCAGCTCCAGCCACTGCAGCCATCTGGGGAGTGAACCAGCAGATGGAAGATCTCTCTCTTTCTCCCTCTGCCTCTCTGTAACTCTGCCTTTCAAATATATAAATGAATCTTTTTAAAAATTTCATTTTTATTTGAAAAGCGGAGTGTGGCACAGTGAGTTAAGCCCATGCCTGCAATACTGGCATCCCATATGGGCACCAGTTAGAGTCCCGGCTGCTCCTCTTACAATCCAGCTTCCTGCTGATGCACCTGAGAAGGCAGTGGAAGACAGCCAAAGTCCTTGGGCCCCTGCATCCACATGAAAGACCTAGATGGAGTTTCAGTCTCCTGCCTGGGGACTGGCCCAGCCCCAGATGTTGTGACCACTGAGGGGTAAACCAGCAGATGAAGATGTCTCTTCTCTGCCTCTGCCTCTCTCTCTTTCTACAACTCTATCAAATAAATAATACATCTTTTTAAAAAAAAAGTATCTTAAGGCTGGTATTTGATGCAGCAATTAAGACACCACTTGGGATGCCCACGTACCATATCATAGTGCCTCAGTTCAAGTCCTGCCTCCTCCAACCTGCTACGCTCCAACTCCCATCCCATTGTCTCCTCTTTGATTTCCCACTTCCTGCTAATGCACCCTCTGGGAGGCAGCAAGTGACTGCCCAAGTACTTGGGTTCCTGAAACCCTCATAAATACCGAGACTGAGTTCCAGGCTCCTGGCTTTGGCCTGACCCAGCCCTGACTGTTGTGAATATCTGGGTACTGAAAACAGTGTATGGAGGCATGCTCTCTGTCTATTTGCCTTTCAAAATGTTTCTTAAAAAGTATCTTGGGGCTGGCCCCGCCACTCAATAGGCTAATCCTCCGCCTGCGGAGCTGGCAGCCCAGGTTCTAGTCCCGGTCGGGGCACCAGATTCTGTCCCGGTTGCTACACTTCCAGTCCAGCTCTCTGCTGTGGCCTGGGAAGGCAGTGGAGGATAGCCCAAGTGCTTGGGCCCTGCATCCTCATGAGAGACCAGGAGAAGCATCTGGCTCCTGGCTTCAGATCAACGTGGTGCACCGGCCGCAGTGTGCTGGCCACAGCGTGCCAGCCACAGCGGCCATTGGAGGGTGAACCAACAGAAGAAGGAAGACCTTTCTCTCTGTCTCTCTTTCTCTCTCTCACTGTCCACTCTGCCTGTCCAAAAAAAAAAAAAAAAAAAAAAAAACAAGTATCTTGGGCCAGTCTGTGGTGCAGCAGGTTAAGCCTCAGCCTGCAGTGCTAGCATCCTATAGGGATACCAGTTCGAGGTCCTGCTGCTCCACTGCCAATCTAGCCCACTGCTAAATGCGCCTAGGAAAGCAGCGGAAGATGGCCCATGTCCCTGGGCCCCTGAACCCACATGGGAGACCTGGAGGAAGCTCCTGGCTCCTGGCATCAGCCTAATACAGGCCCAGCCATTGTGGCCATTTTGGAGATGAACCAGCAGATGCAAGATTTCTCTGTCTCTCCTCTTCTCTTTGTAACTCTACCTTTCAAATAAATAAATATAACTTTTTTAAAAGAAGTATCTTTATAATCTTGGGGTAGAGAAAGATTTTTTAAACACAAGAACTATAAATTTAAAATACTGACAAAATAGACACTACTAAGATTTTTATTTAACAAGACATTTTTAAGAAAGTGGAAAAAGGCCGGAGCCACGGCTCAATAGGCTAATCCTCCACCTAGCGGCGCCGGCACACCGGGTTCTAATCCCGGTCGGGGCGCTGGATTCTGTCCCGGTTGCCCCTCTTCCAGGCCAGCTCTCTGCTGTGGCCTGGGAGTGCAGTGGAGGATGGCCCAAGTACTTGGGCCCTGTACCCCATGGGAGACCGGGAGAAGCACCTGGCTCCTGCCTTCGGATCAGCGCGGTGCACCGGCCACAGCGCGCCAGCCATGGCGGCCATTGGAGGGTGAACCAACGGCAAAAGGAAGACCTTTCTCTCTGTCTCTCTCTCTCACTATCCACTCTGCCTGTCCAAAAAAAAAAAAAAAGAAAAAAGAAAAAATCACCTAAATGCTCATCAAAATAAAAATAGTTAAGTCAATATTAAAATTTAAAAAAAAAAGTGGAAAAAGGCAAGTCACAGGACGGGAGAAAATATTTGTGGTAACTATAATGAGTATAGGGTTTATACCCACAATTTATTAAGAAAACAAGTGAAAAACAAAACAGAACTCAAGGAATCAGTAAGAAAAATCAAGGCAATAGAAAATGACCAGGAAACTTGAGCAAGCATCTTGCAAAGTGGTAGACTCGACTGTTCATAAAATGGCACTTTTCCTAAATCCAGCCTGGCTTACTAGAAATCAGGTGACCAAATGGCCCAATCACAAGCATCAGCTCCACCCCAACCCTAGCGGGATTTGCTGCTCCCACTTCCTTACCTCTGCAAAGCTACAGAAGACCTGTTCTCCAAGTACAAGCTGCTCTTCTCTGGTGCGCAAGGAGGCAGCCTGTCAGGTTTCCCCCACCCGAAAATAAACCATCTCCCTTACTCAGTGGTTGGTGTGTTTTGCGGTGACCTTTCATCTACTACTGTAGACTTTAACTACTACTACTTCTCTGTTCTGAGAAAGAACTACTCATTCCCATTCACAGCCATGTGACTGGTAATAGCTCCCTTGGAAGGAGGGTAACGCCTTGCTCTCTGACATTGAGCAGTTCTGTGATATGCTTTGATCAATGTCCACAAGGGATGTGACATCCTTGCAGACATTTAGGGAGTAAATCAGCACATGGGAGTGTTTGTGAGTGCATTCTCTCTGCCTCCTCTATAAAATTACTTAATTAAATCTTTTTTTTTTTTTTAATTTTTTTGACAGGCAGAGTGGACAGTGAGAGAGAGACAGAGAGAAAGGTCTTCCTTTTGCCGTTGGTTCACCCTCCAATGGCCGCCACAGCCGGCGCACCA